GCTCGATAATTGGGGTGGGAGGCAGATATTCATATATTTGTGTTCTGCATTATTAATTTCTTTTGAAATCGATTGTTTTTATGGTCTGTGAACACGAATATATGAATATCTGCCCCCCCCCCAATTATCGAGCTAGCTACGGCACTGGCGAAACGCAAATTTTGTATCATCACCTCTGATCATCGCCCATGTTTGTATATTTTAAATTCCGATGGATATTAAAATACGTATACTTTCAAACATCAAACCTCGCATCAGACTTATAGTTCTTCGGTGAAACTTTCTATATACATATAGAAAATAGCCGTAGGCGAGATTTTTCAATTTTGAGAGCAAAACTAATTGTTTTGCCGCTTTTGGAAGCTTTCAAAATGGTTGTAAAACTTTTAAAAAGGATAAAAATTTGCTATTTTCGACCCTCGACCTCGACTTACAACCCTTGACCCTCGTTATAAGCGTCAATTGCATTTAGGTAATCAGTTCCACAGTTTAGCTCCATCACAACAGAAGCTTTTCTTAAGGTCGAGAAATAAGCAAGATTTAAAAAAAAGCTTTAAAATGTTTTCCACGTCATTTTAAAAGTTCTTTCATTCTCCGCCATTACCAGAAATGTGGGTCAAGATGGTGGACATGACAAAAAATTATGCAACAAAATGGTGTCCGATAATGCTGGGATTAGTATAGGCATATAAGAACTTTCTCAAATATCGCATGAATGAGCCGCAAATCACGCTTACTTGCTACTTACATGCTTACTTACATGCTATGCTGATTCAGGAATCTATTAATTCTAACAACTATTTCTAGAATAAAATACACTCACTTCCCGGACTCACTATTAATATCACATTCACCAGCATAATAACTCCTTATATTGCATGTGAATCTGACAATACACGCCACAAATGCAGTCTGGTGTACGGAAATATATCCAGCGAAATCTTGAGCTTGGCATCGCAATTGTTTCAATAACATTCAAAGTTTATATATTCGGCAACAAAAGTATCTAAATTCCGCAGGAAACTACTTCAAAAATCCTCTAAACTTAGTAATTTTATTCATCCATACATGCTACAAGAGGCCATTTTTATCAGCACAACTACGATAAAATTTTCATACATTGCCTTTCTTCTTCGCCATATTTGTTTTTAAATTAATTATGCTCCTCCCAGTCTCTTACCCTGCCAATCACACAAATTTATGCATATTTCTCAGCTAAATACATTTATTATACGTGCGTAAACGCGTCAAATTTGGAAAATACTTCTTCGATCGTGCCGCAAATAGTGGTTCTGCTGTTGTAAAAAATGTCAGACAATCTTACATTAGTTAATCGCAGTAAAATAAAATGGAATTTAGCCGTCAGCACGGAGTTTTCTCTTCAATATATTAACAACACAATTTGTCTTTGAAGAATATGAGCCGCCATTTTGTTTGTATTTTTTGATGAACATCATTTATGCGTAAAACCGCTGCTTACGATTGCGGACGCAAAATGTCCCACATTCCTCAACAGGGCCTTTCCTAAACGCGATAATGGGGGGGGGAGGGGTATATTCATATATTCATGCTCGCTACCGTAAAAACAATCGCTTTCAAAAGAAATCCGTCAGGCAGAAGACGAATATATGAATATACACACCCAATTATCATGCTAGGAATGGCCCTGTCCCTTTAATTAAACGACTGAACTTGCCCGGCTTCAATGAAAATAAGGCCGAAGTTTGACGCTTAAACTGAACTGCTTAGAGCACAACATGCTCAAATATAAGTAATTGACTGTTTGTAGTAAGTATATATAGCCTTGAAACTAGCGAGTGTGCAAGTGTTTCTAGTTTATTTTAATTGGCGCGCATGGATCAATCAATTGAAACAAGAATTTGAAGCAGAAATCTTAGTCTTGGAGAGTTTAACAGCATATTTTATCTAGAAATAGGAAAACGAGTTTAAAATGATCTACGTCTTATATTTCCTGTGAATAACAAGAGAAAACAAGCAAGAATGATTAAGGTTCGACTGTCTATAGTTGAAGCAAGGGGCCTAATTGTCTGAGGATTTTTAAGGTTTTTTTTGTGATTTTCTCGATATTATAGTCAGTATAATTCTGTGGTAACAAAAAGGAATTTTTTAATCAGCATTCAAATGATTCAATACGTATGTATGATGGCTATATGGCATCTTTCTCGGGAAACGTTTGGAAATATTGTAAAAAAGCGCCTTAGTTTTGGAGCTTCTGTTAGGCAGAGTTAAATGACATATTCACTTGCTGACATTTTCGTACTTTAAATAGTGCTGACTTGTTGTTTTATAATGAAAATAATCCCCGTTTTAATTATAAACCTAAGAGGTTCACACAAAGAAATGGCCGATTTGCATGCGACGACTATACTATATATGAATTTTAGAAATATTAAAGGGTTATTGACCGAGCGTGAGGTCTGTACTGTGAAATATCAGACCGAGGTTTTTTATGGTATGTAGTACAGTTTTGTATGGTATGTAGTATGGTATGGTATGGATCACAGTACAGACCGAACAAGCGAGGTCAATAATCGGTTTATTATATGGCTGAACTGAGTCTGTGAGCATATGCTTTTCGCACGAATTAAATCAGCTATGGCCAGTTTCACTGGGTAACAATATACCGTAGGCATACATGCTCAATAAAAAACAATTAGGTTATTTGAAATTTTTATCTGTAAAGCACAATTGGAAATTTAAAAAGTAAAATTTTTTTCTGTTTGCAAAGCAAAAATTTCCTGCCAGATAAACGACATCTGGGACACCGGTCCACATACGGAAAATACGGACCACGGTCCGAATATGGGTTTTTACGGAACGCTTGTCAACCAATCAGAATAGAGAATTTTGAAAAGCCATATAATAATATGCATTAGGGGCGGACAATTTGATGAGCACGTGGGCACATATAGGTAGTAGGTATTGAGTATAGGCTATGGGTCGTGATTTAAGAGAATTTTTTATAAAGTTTGGACATGCAAACATTCACAATTGTATATATTTACAATTGTATATTTTTGTCATTTCTTTAACTATATTGAGTTATTGATATTTTCCTGACATACTTATGTAAATATGATATGTTATAATATGTCACAGAGTAATCAGCATAACAAGCTGTTTGAAAAATGTATATATGTGTAATGTCAACTTGAGCAACGTAAGTTGGGCAGCATAAATATTGTATATTTTATTATATGTATATTTGGAGGGCTTAGGGAAGGTTATAATTTCGTTCTACATTTATATACAGTGAAATAGCAATGTGTAAGCACTCACATGAATAAACCTTGGCTACGCGTTAGCCTTTTAGTAAATAAAACGGGGATTATAAGTCAGCACGATTTAAAGTACAAAAATGACAGCAAGTGAATGTCATGCAATAGTCCCGCCTAATAATATTATAATTCAATGGCAGTGTTAGGGCAGTTATATACAGAAGCACCAAAATTTCCAAAGGTTTCATGCGAAAGACGGCGAACAGCCTCCTATCATACATACGTATTGAATGCTGATTAAAAAATTCCATTGCTAAAAATTCGAACGGGTGAAAACATACCCATTTTACAGATCTAAGGCTGGTATACTTTAATTTAGGGTATTATAATTAGTTGCCATAGTAATCATGTGTATCTAAAATGCTCCGTCGTCGCCGTCTGCAGCCACCGTCCGGTTTTTATCCGTCCGCCTTTTTATCTACACCCCTATCCGCATATTGTCAATTACAATTACAACTTTCGCGGCAAAAGAATCAGCGGTTATAACAAATTTTTCTATATCTCGGTCACATTTTAATATTTGGGGAAAAAACCTGCGGTAATAGAGAGATCTCCGGCCCGTGTATATTAATCAATGAGAATGTAAAAATGATGAAATCATTGTTTTCATAATGTGACTGTTCAATTACTATCGGAGGCTACATGAAATCTGGCCTGCCAGAGGGCCTATATAGTTGCATTTTTCGCAACTCTCCTATTTTTGTCTAATAAATGCATAACATTTACATTAGAAAATGTCCGTTTACAATTAGATCTATCGAGCGAGATGCCAAAAATCCTAATTCGTTCTATTCATAACCTCTTCTCCTTTTGGGAAACAGAGACACCAACTCTTACTTATAACAGTTTTACCAACATTCCGGCCAAGACAAAGCTGCATGACACATTATGAAAGTTGTGTTAATGTAATTTACTTGGCTTGTAAGAACTCAGGCTTTCTATTCTTAAGCTTTTTCTCCTTAGGAGAACAGTAACACCAAAACTCTTACTTATAACAGTTTTACAAAGATTCCGGCTAAGACTAAGCTGCATGGCACATTATGAAAATAATGTGTTAATGTAATTTACTTGGCTTGTAAGGACCTAGGCTTTCTATTCTTAGTCTTTTTCTCTTTCGGGGAGCAGTAACACCATAACACCAACTCTAATTACATACAACAGTTTTACCAACATTCCGGCCGAGACTAAGCCGCATGGCACATTATGAAAGTTGTGTTAATGCAATTTACTTGGCTTGTAAGGACTCAGGCTTTCTATTAGGCTTTTTCTCTTTAGAGGAGCAGCAACACCATAACAGCAACTCTTACTTATAACAGTTTTACAAAGATTCCAGCTGAGACTAAGCTGCATGGCACATTATGAAAGTTGTGTTAATGTAATTTACTTATAGGCTTTCTATTCTTAGTCTTCCTCTCTTTTGGATGAACAGTAACATCAACTCTTACTTATAACACTTCAACAAGCAATCCGGCCAATCATGTTATAGTATTGATGTTTTAATTTGCTTCTATATAAAGTTTGTAACATCGCAATTTTAGTCAGTTGAATGTCGAGTTTAGTTGAGGATCAAGATCAAGCACGCTGCGAGTCGAATTGGATGGCTAGAATAATCACGGGTGCGAGAGGCATTGGAAGGGTTCTAGTTGAAGACGGCTTTAAATATCAGTTTAATCAACAGAGTCAATTGACGATGCATTGGCGATGTTGGCGAACAAGTTGCGGCGCGAAACTAAAGGCAATCTCTTCAACAGGAATGATGAAGATCCAAACGATAGAGTGGTGGAGAGAGAGCAGCATGATCACGAAGAAGACGATACCGTTATACAGAAAGGAATCTTTCTCAACAATGCCAAAGGCAGTGTACGAGACGATCCAACCAGACCAATAAAGCGATTTTATGACCAGCACGTTTCAGCAATTCACAGAGAGGCTGGCGGATCCGATCAAGAAATTCCTGATTTCCAATCCGTTCGGTCACAAATGTCAAGGGTGAAATCGGCTGAAGTGCCCGACACGCCCCAAGATATCGACGACGTCAACATCGAAGGTTCCTGGGCACGATCGTGGAGAAACAACTGGTTCCTGCTACATCAGGACATAGTTAATAGAGGAGAGGGTTTGGAAGCTGGGGGCGTGGCCAAATTATGTTATTGTTCTCTGTCATGTGACAATACGGGTGCATCAAAATGTATTTGTAATAGGAGATTGTATTACAGAGGAGGCTGTAGTACTTGAAAAACGTCTTTTACAGAAAGACTATCCAAATACCAGGTGCAAATTGCTCCATACATGGTTGCAGGACTAGTAGAAAACACTTTGATCTCAGTATTTTTTGAAATCCAACAAAAGACGACGATTTATCGATGAAAATTCGCGAAGCGTTGGCGAGGCTTGTCACAAAGGACGCTGGATCGAGAGATAGATGCAAGTTTAAGAAATCAAATCGCTCAACAAACACTTCACGTTTGTGAAAGACACTTTGAAAAGACCCAGCCGA